AGGGCAGTATGGATGTGGAGCCCAAGGTCGAGATGGACAAGCACCACCCCTCAGGTGTCTCCCCAGCCCTGGAACCCAGCTCTTACCTGCCCCATCTCCTCCGGAGCAACCAACTCCATCCTCAGCCGCAAGGCTCCATCCTTTGCACGGGACAGTGGAGGGGTTCCCGCTGTTGAGCCCCCTGCCTCCACTTCTACCCTCAATGAGGGCAGGGGTGTGGCGGCCTGGGAAGTGCCCGTGCTATCCCCTGTCCCGGGCTCTGGGGGGCGCTGCTGGGGTGGGGAGGCCGACAGAGGGGGTGTCTCCACCTTGGCCTTGCCAGGCACTGCCAGTTGGCCCAGACCCCCGGTGAAGGAGCGGGCCTGAGGTCCAGGGGAGGTGGGCGGCGGGCGGAGCCAGGAGGTGGGGCCCTGAGACAGGCCTGGCTGTGGGATAGGGGTGCCCAGGCCCAAGCTGGCCAGCTCCAACCTGGAATCCAAAGATCTGCCCCCGGTGCCCCCTGAGGCCCCTCGAATTCCCTCCAGGAGCCGGCCGAAGCTAGGGGGCTCCAGGTCTCTCTCGTAAACATCCACACATGTCCAGCGGCCCCGGCGATAAGGCTCTCCCAGGCCTTGGGGCAGCTTCACCACCCGGAAACGGGAGGCGGGGGCCCCAGGCGGTGGGGAGCCGTTCCGGGGGGTGCCTTTGCCCCCTGGCTCAGGGTTGGGCTCTCCATTGGGCAGGCGGGGCTGGAGCCCGGTGGGGCCTGGCAGGGCAGGGGGATCTGAAGCCCCTGGGCTCCCTGGACCCTCATAGTCCGTGGTGACGCTGGTGATTTGGAAACTACTCTTCTTCTTGCCCCCACTCATGGTCCCTGGGGCTCAGGACTGGGCCAAGGTGGGCAGGGGGGCGGTGATGGCTCTTCGAGGGGCTCAGGCGCCCCTGGAACAGGGGGGCCACATGGCGGGGACATCAGGGCCCCTGGCGACGTCTGGGTCCAACATGGCAGAAGGGCCTGGCGGGAACTGGGGGTGCCTGGTTGGTGAAGGGAGAAGAGGGTAGGGGAGGTGGCGGGAGTAGGGGGGGCAGGGGCAGGTTTTTCCTGCTGCTGTTGCTGCCGAACTCCAGAGCTGAGTTTGCAAACTAGAAAAAGAGAGAGAGTGTGTGTGTATGAGAAAGCAGTGGGCAGGCCATCTCCGGGGCTTCCTCTCTGGGGAGCAGAGTGAGGGAGGAAGGGGAAACCGCCAGAGACCCAGAGACAAAGAGACAGAGATGACAGAGACCAGAGCAGAGGGGACAGATTGGGGAGGTCACAGAGAGCAGGAAGAGGCAGCCCAGATCCAAAGCTGAGCATTTCTCGCTGAGATTCAAACTTACGGGACCCAAGCCGTCCCACCCAAGGGCAAGGGCTTCAAGAATTGGGTGAACAGGGGTGAAGCCGCTCCTCAGCCTGATCAGGCCTCCGGGAGGCCTCTGCTGGGCCTCCGAGGCCCCCCCCCCCGCGCCCCAGCTCCCCCATCCCCGGGGCAGGCCCTGCCCTGCCGCCCCAGCGCCACGCCCCGCCCAGTCCAGAGCCCTACCTCTCGGCCGCGGCCACCCAGCTGGGCCGGGGGTCCCAGCCACCTAAGCTGTTGGGCTGTTCTTTCCCTGGGGCCTCCTGGCCCCAGCTGCTGGGGCTGGAGGGGCGCAGGCGGCGATCAGAGGCTGTCCAGCCCTCTTTGGGAGCCGCACCTCGCCCCACAAGGCATCTCCGCGGAAAGTTTGCTGTCCAGAAAAGAAGGAACCCCCGCCTCCTTGGCGGAGCCCAGGCGCTGCCTCTTAAGCCCCCGAAGGTCTGCGGACGGGCGCGGGAGGGGGCGGCTCAGCCTCCCAATCCTCCAGGTGGAGCCGCCTCGGTGGTCGCGGCGAGCGGCTCTCCCAAGCCTCCTCCCGCGTGGCACCGCTGGGTCTCTCTCCGCTCCTCCGCTCCTCTCAGTCTCTCTTTCTGGGCTGTTGACAACCCCCACACCAGGAAGTCCTGCCTCCTCGGGCCTGCTGACTGCTCCTCTCCTCCTCCTCCTCCTCTTTCCCCTCTTCCTCCCCTTCCTCCGCCCTCTCTCGCTCCTGGGGCTCCCGGCCAACTGGCCCGGGGCCAGGCCTGCCACGGCCGCTGCTGGTGCAGTTGCTGCCGCCGCTGCTGTTCCAGGGGCCCGGAACAGGCTGCCTTAACCCCACACCTGCTGGGCCCCAGCCCAGCTCTTCCTCGGAGGGAGGGGCTGTGGAGGGCGGAGAGAAAGGGGGAGGAGTTTGCGGGGAGGCCAGGGATTCCCTTACTTGTAGACACTTGCTGCCATTGGCCTACAGACACGCAGAAGAGTGGGAAGGAAATTAACCAGGATTCTACTGGGTGCCTGCCACCCCATAAGCGCCCAGTAAATTGTTATGGTGCCGCTGCAGCTGTTATTGTCATATCTTCGCTGGTTTTCGCAGTAACTGTATGAGGAAGAACCTGTTTTTCTCCCCTGTCCTAATTTTTTAAAGTGGACTCTTAGGACAATTTTCAAACAGGCCCCAAAGTAGAGAGAATGGTATCATGATCTCCCAGGTACCCAGCATGAACAATCATCAACTCACCGCCAGTCTGTTCGGTATATACCCCCAGTATCCTTTGTTGTATTGTGCTGGAGTATTTGAAGCAAATCCGAAACAACGTTATTATTCCTTTTCTTGGATGTGGAAATTGAGAGTCAGGAGGTTCAGAAAGGCTGTCAGCGGTAGAGCAGGGACATTTCAGACACTCAGGTGTGTCCTTGTCTGGCTCCCAATATAAAGAAACAACGAAGACTTGTTCACGAAGGTGCTGACTTGCATTTTCTCTCCAGTCGTTGATCACACACAGTCACCCATACAGATGCACCGGCCTGATGAGGAACCAGGCTGGCCACAATGCCTGGACCCTTTTCATCCATATTCCACCCTTTCCACCTCCCCATCTCGTTCCTTGCTCACGTGGAGAATCCACACACATTCATAAAGGGCCTACTATGTGCTTTGGTGTGAAGAATAAATCTCCAACTGCCATTTTCTCTTTTTTGATCTCGCAAACAACTTTCTGACAGGCATTATTTTAGCAAAAGCAGCATCTAATGATCACAACTGCCTTCACTCCCAGGGTCAGAAGGAAATGGATTCAAATTAATTTTGGTCATATGGAACTCTTTTCAAGTATATTAAAATTCCTCATATTTGCCCACTCCACGTAACTATCTAACGGTTTCTCAAAACAGCCCTGAGCAGATGGGGTGGTTCCAAGCTCCAGTGTTCTGCTGAGGAAACTGAGGCTCACAGGATTTGGGCTATTTGCCAAGGCCTCAGAGCTAGCATTTGATGGCACCGAGACTACCTATGGGCTGTCTGACACACCCTTCCTTCCTCAGCTTTAGCTCATGGAAATTTTTAACCACTCTTTAGGGTTAGGCAAAAACAAATGAAGCAAACCCCCTTGCCCCTAGTTTATTATTTCTTCTTTATCTCTTTGTTGAAATGTAGATGCACGCCTGACTCTCTCTCTTCACGGTAACAGTGGCTACTACCATCTTCAGATCCTGAGGCCTCCCAAGTGGTGAGGTCCAGGAAGCAGCCTCCCACACAACCCCCGCCACTCGCCCCAGACTCTCTCCCCTCTGGCAATATTCAGAACACAGCCCAGCTGCTCCGCCCCCAGATCCTCCTTCTTTCGGCGCTGACTCGCTACAAACTATTCAAACTTATCTTTGGATCCTCCCCTTCCCACCGACTCACTCAGACGCTCAACCTCAACTTGGACTCCTCCTTGTCTACGGGACATTGTTGGTCTCTGTGGAAATGTGTGTTGAACTAATAAATAAAAGTTTATTCACACTAAGGTGCAAATAGGAAAGGACTGTTACGTATTTTTATGTGTTACGTCTCCCAAGGGTATTTATAATAGCCTTTTAATGTATGGGGCCCTTTACGACTTATAAAGCTCTTTGCATTCATTATTTCGCCGAGTCAAAGGTTACTTGAGACCGCAGGGGCAGACAGGTAAGAGATTTTGAGCCTAGGCGGTGAAACAAGGTCTGAACGCCTGAGAGGCTGCAGGGATAGGCGACGAGCACCAAGCGAGCCAGCTCCTGCTCCCTCCGCGTACCTGGGGGGCGGCTGGAAGACGGGGCAGGGCCAAGGGAGCACGCCCCCTGCTGGACAAAGACGTGGATGGTCCGGCTCCCCACTCTGGGAGCCCCTCAGCCCGGAAATAGGCCCCCCCTGCCGGCCTCGCCGCCTCACTGCATCCCGGGCTCCGCAGCCGCAGCCTCGCCCCGGCCGGACGCGGGGTGCGCACCGGGGGAG